ATGCGGCCCGGGTTCGATCTTCAGCACCACATACAAACAAAGATGTTGCGTCCGCCAAAAACTAAAAAATAAATATTAAAAATTCTCTCTCTCTCTCTCTCTCTCTCTCTCTCTCTCTCTCTCTCTCCTCTCTCTTTAAAAAAAAGTAATTAAAAATAATTTTAAAAAGTAAAAAAAAAGTAATTAATAGTTAATACTTTCTAACAAAAGAAAACACTGCTTCAAAGAAAGCAATAATAAAGAATATCATTACTCACAATCAGAGATATTTCCAGCTCTTTACAGACACATGACTCAGTCTTCTCTAGGATTTCGTCAATATTACCAAGTGTGTCTTCAGAAATCAGTGATTCTTCCAAAGACAGATCAAAAACCTCATTTGCAAAAAAATAAAAAATAAATAAACTCAATTAATTCAGTTAGGATTCATTTTACCTTTATACCTGAAAAAAAGCATTAGGAATGCCCTGAGTGATACAGGGGAAATAAGATTACAGAGGAAAAAAGAAAAGACTTACCCTCATAAAACACATGTACCAGAAAAGACAAGTTACATGCATGTAGCATACCTAAAGAAAATTAGTGTTTAAGAAAGGTGAGAGGACAATGCAGAGGAAAAGTAAGGGCAAAAGCAAAACCTAAATGATGTTTGTTGTTTTTTGTTTTTGTTGTTGTTGGGTGTTTTTTTTTTTGTTTTGTTTTGTTTTGTTTTGACAATAATGAAAGGAGCAGTCTGACTAAAAGCTGATAAAGAACCTTGATCCTCAGGTAGCAAATTTAAACCTGACAGGGATGAGTAGACAATGTTAGCTTTTAAACAAAGGATATGATTAATGTATATGGAGTCCCCCCCCCCATTTTATGCCACAAATGGCACTGAATAAGAGTTTTCTTTACCTTTAGAGTGCTCTGGAACCATGCTACAAGATGTTGCAGAGAAGCCTCAGTTTCACTCCTCACATTGGTGAATTCCTGTCTTTTATCACACTTCCACTCATAAAATTTTTTAAGTATTTCTTCAGAATTTGTTCCTTCTTTGGCCTGTCCATACACTGCTTCTAAAGAGGTTGATAAATCCTACAAAAAGAAATATTTCTGTTTATTAAAGATTATTTTCAGGCATAGAAGTGCACACCTGTAATTCTATTGACTCAGGAGGTGGGGACAGCAGGATCACAAGTTCAAGGCCAGCCTCAGTAACTTAGCAAGACCTTGTCTCAAAAAAATATATATGTACAGGCCCAGAAACTTAGCTCAATGGTAAAGCATCCCTGAGTTTAATCCCAAGAACCAGAAAAAAATATATTAAAACTTATTAACTTCAAGTTAGGATTCAAGCACTGTATTGAACATAGGAGATTAAAAAACAGTATTTGAATCCCCATTCTTAAGAAGTTTATAAATAAAACTTAAGACTTATCAGATGAAAACACAGAACTATCTAAAAGGTGATTTTTGGACCATTGAAGTAAAAGTTATATTAAGTCAATTCATTCAAACAGCAAGTTTTATATTCTTAGGTTTTTTTTTATTATTGGTTGTTCAAAACATTACAAAGCTCTTGACATATCATATTTCATACATTTGATTCAAGTGGATATTCTTAGGTTTTTAACAAATTAGAAATTGGCCTCTATTTCCTGACTTTTTAAGAGTATCAAATGTTTGTCCTGACATGGTGTTCCCAGTATATTGCTGGACAAAAATATATTATTCACCGAAATATACAAATAATTCCAATTAAGTAAAAACATTAAGCATATATATGTACTTGAAAGCATTTTTAAAAGACTGGGGGGGAAAAATTTTTTAAAAAAGGTATTTCACCAAAATAGAAAAGAAACAAACGAGAAGAGGATCAAGAGGGAATAAGGACAGGAAGGCCTAGGGAAGTAATGGGAAACAAAATCCACTAAATTATGCTATGTACACATATGAACATACCCCAGTGATACCACTTACATACATATATATTTATAATGCACTAATTAAAATAATAATAGGAGGGAGACAGAGCAAGCAGATGAGGGAAGGAGAAAGGGAAGGGGAAGGAAAGGTAAGATGCTGGGAGATGTGATTTATCAAATTATGTCATGTGCATGTACAAATATGACATAATGAATCAATTATTTATAATTAAAATGTACCAATAAAAACAAATAAAAAGTAAAGAAAAAAATAAAGAATGGAAGAGACAAGGTAGGTACCCAACACAATCTGCTGACTCTCTCAAGGAATCAAACCCTAGAAATGGTACAGAGACAAGAGAAAAGCTTAATAGTTTCCAAAAAAAAAACACTTATCACAAAACTCTTTGAGAAATCCTCAAAAGACAATGGATGGTGCTTACCACTAAATGAATAGTTCTTGCAAGTGTAAGAAGATCTATATACCACAGCAAAAAATAACTTGTGGGAAAACAGAACTTCCTTCATGTAACCTACTCTCTCTCTCTTTCCTTGGGCAGGAAAACAGCAGCACCAGCAAGAGGCAATGGGGTTATACCACATAAGGTCACAGATGAGGCAAAAACTGATAACCAGGAGAGCAAGGTTGGCCAGCCCCTGAACATTCTCTTTCCTTCCCATTTCTCCTAAATACATGGGAGCATTTATGTCCAAGTGGTAGCCCCCAACAGAGGTTGAGGTAAAGGAACTGGGAGAGATATAGAACACAATTTTTCATATGTATAATAAGAATTGTGATGCATTCCACTGTCATGTATTTAAAAAATAAAAGCAATTAAAAAAGAAAAAAATAAAATTAAATGAATTGAAAAAAAAAAAAAAAGGGAACTGGGAGGAATGCTGATTAAGACCATCTAGAAGAGAAGCAGATAGGCAATAGCTACACCCTAACTGCAACACCAGAAGTTCTACACCACAAAAAACAACCCCATTCTATTCCCTGAAGGCATCAGAAATCTTTAAAAATTATAGTATAGGATGTCACTCTTACTCTGCCTCTCTACCATGTTATCCCATACCTACACAACATACAGAGCTAAGGCAGTTCTAGTCCCAAGGAAATATGGAATCTTAAAGACAGGTAAAAGGGAAGATGAAATGTGTGAAATACACAAGTTCTTGGAGAGAAGTATAACAAAATAAGCTACCTTATAAAAGAAGCAAAATCAGTAACAGATTCCCAGATAATAAGAACTCAAAATAAGCATAACAAATAACAAAAGAAAGAGTATTGGAAATACAACCTGGTACTTTAAATAATAACCAACTAAAGATAATGGGTATGAATGGAACCAATTTAAAAAACACAATGGACTAGAAAAATGACAGAAGACATACAGTTAGAGAACCTACTGGTGAGACAGATGGTTAAATCAAGGATACCTCCAAAAAGCCCCTAAAAGGGATAAAAAGAAAAAACTGCATTAACAGTTATAATATGCAGAGGATAAAAGTTTAAATATCCATGTAACAGAAGATCTGGAATGAAAGAAAAATTCATGAGGTGGGGTAGCAGCTGCAGCACTTTCTTAAATATATATCAAAGATTTCCTAGAATTAAAGAAAGATAAGAATTCAAAACTGAACTGACCTGAATTATATCAAAACTTAAACATGTTATAGTGTAATTTAGTAACAGTCAAGAGAAAATTTTAAAGCTTTCAGAGTGACAAAAAGTCAAAGAACTGATAAATTACAAAACTCAGATAACAATAGATTATCATTATCAACGTTCCATAGAGAAAAATGGCCTTTGGATCTAATAATTTTATAGCCAGTTAAATAATTTATATGAGAGACAGAAACATGATATCTTTAAATATTTAATGCCTCATAAAGTCAACTACACAAAAATGTCTCTGAAAGCACAAGGAAAATATCCTAATATCTTGAAAAAGTCCAAAGACACCAAATAACACCTAAGAAATAATGAGAAAGTAACTCCAAATTTTATTTGATTGAACTATCAAACACAGTATTCATAACTTGTGACTATAATCCTGATCAACAATATTGGTTGTTTTGCTGGTTGCTTTAGGGAATGAGACAGAAAGGGGGACACCAAAGACAGGGGAGATCTTAAGTATTAGGGATAGAAGTGAGACAAAAAGGAAAAAAGAAATCATAATAAAGATACAAAAATAAGATCATGGAAATAAGTTCTAAACAAACAGTAATTAGATATGTAAGTCAACTAAGTTACCAATCAAAAGATAAATTTCTAAGTTGAAGTCTTTTAAGAATTGATCATGAGTGCATTAGTTAAGAGGTAGTTCAAAAACAGGATACAAAGAAAAAAGAAAAAATATATAAAGTAATTATTAACCAAAAATGAAAGTGGGATGGTAATTTTAAAAAGAAACAAGATTTTATACCAAAATGTGATAAGTGAAAAAATAAGATTACATAGTGGTTAAAAAGAAAAGTTTAAAATATAATTGTGAATATATTAATGTCCAGTGTGTTTGTGCGTGTGTGTGTATCCCTCTAGTTCCTTCAGGTGTTCAAAATACATACATACCAAAAAGTAAGTAAGGATAAGGATTAAAGCTTAAGATGATATACAGTTATGCATTTTTTAACATTTCAGTCAGTAAAATCACATATACAACAGTGGTTCTATATGACCGCAATTGAACTGAAAAATTTATATCACCTAGTGATAACATAGTTATCATGATGCATTACTGACATGTTAGTGGTGATACTGGTGTAAATAAACCTACTGCACTGACAGTTGTATAAAAGTATATAACACATAAAAATTATATATATTACATATTTGAAAATTATAATGAAAGATCGTTACTAGTTAATGTATTTAATAGTCTAAGGAAACTTTTTTGTTATTTTAAGAGTATACTACTTCTACTTATTAAAAAAAAAAGTTAACTCTTGATTTTTATTTTAAAGGCAGCACATCTCCCTACAAGATTAAGATATTGGATAAAATTCAAGGGACTCATCTTCGACTGAAGCACTCCTGACCTGACTGGTGATTAATAAACATACCAAGAGAATACGGCTGCACAAATGCCAGAATCTGATCAGATAAAACAGTTTAGGGAATTCCTCGGAACATACAATAAACTTACAGAAACCTGCTTTCTGGACTGTGTAAAAGACTTTACAACAAGTAAAACCTGAAGAGATCACCTGTTCAGAACACTGCTTACAGAAATATTTAAAAATGACACAAAGAATATTCATGAGATTTCAAGAATATCATATTCAGCAGAATGAAGCCCTGGCAGCCAAAGCTTGACTCCTTGGTCAACCACGATAGAGAGAAATCCTGATGGATGGACTTTCAATGAAAGATTGCCAACAGCTGTTGCACTGGAAATGAGGATTTATATGACAGAATCCCCTGTTAAACCACCCGTCATGACTCTTTGGCAGTGGAAACCAATGAAGAAACAACATCACTGTTCACCAAGAATAATTAAAATAAAAGATCTTATTGTTCAGAGAAAATACTAAGATACATTTGTTGAGGCCTTAAGATTCTGCAGCTTGGTCACACTTGATTAGAAAAATAAACCACTGTTTCTTCCATTGTGACTATTAATTTTAAAGCAAAATATGTGTGCAATCACATGTATGATAGAAAAATTTTTATTCTAAAAGTGAAAAAAATGAAAATATCACTAAAAAAAATTAACTCTTAAATAGTCTCAGGAAGGTACCTTCAGGAGGTACTCCAGAAGAAAGCATTATCATCATAGGAAATGACAGTTCTGAGTGTCTGAAAGACATTCCAGTAAGACAACATGTGGAGGCAGAAGACAGAAATATTGATTATTAAGCCCCCGCAAAGGCCTAAGCTACTATGTTTGTGTCTGTTTTTAACAAAAAAAGAAAAGAAAGTTTAAAAAGTAAAAATAAATAAAAATTTGAATAACAGAAAAAGTTTATAGATTGAGGGTACAGAGAAAAATATTTTTTACAGCTGTACAATGTATTTGTATTTTAAACTATTACTACATGAGTCCAACAGTTGAAAAATAAAGTAAACTAAGGTTAATTTATTATTAAACTAAAAATTATTTTTATTAGTGTCACCTAAGCATAGTGTTCATAAAGTCTACAGTAATGTAAAATAATGTCCCAAGGCTTCACACTCACTCACCACTCACTTAGCAACTCACCAGGGCAACTTACAATCCTGCAAGCCCATGGTAAATGCCTTATAAAGGTGCACCGTTTTAATCTTTTATACCATATTTTTCCTATACTTTTTCAATGTTCACACTCACAAATACTTAGCACTGCATTACAAACACCTACAGTATTCAGTACAGAAAAAATGTACTTATTTGTAGCCTAAAAGAAATAAGCTCTACCACTTATAGGTACCACTTACAGGTATTCATTAATAGGCTATATTACCAGGTTTATGTAAGTATACTCTGTGATGTTTGCACAACAATGGAACTGCCTAACAATGCATTTCTGAGAATGTATCCCCTTTATTAAGTGATAAATGACTGTGTATATCTAGAACTGCACCCCAAGAAAACCTAGAATATACTTTTTTAACTCATAAGGAACAATTATGAAAAACCAACCATGTATTTTATGCGACAAAAGGATTAATAAATGCACTGGAAGTTAGAAATCATGAACTTTAATTTTTTTGACTAACTTTCATTATAGAAATGTGTTTCTTAAGTACTTGAAAAATATAAACAAACTATTTCTTAGCAAAATGAACCAAAGTTTAAAGAATATTCTGGTGACGTAGGTAAATAAAGAGACAAGGCAGGCAAAAAGTCTTTTAATTCAGGTTAAGCATCTCTTCTCCAAAATTCTTTAAGTGTTTCAGGTTTTAAACTATCTCCAAATACATAATGAGTTATCTTAGGGATGTGTTTTCCAAGTCAAAACACCAAATTCATTTGTGTTTCATATACATCATATACACATACCCTAAAGGTTACTTTTAAGTAATTTTTACATGAAAAAAATTGCATACATTGAACCACTAGAAAGCAAAAGTGTCCATTCATGTTAAAACTACTAGAGAAACTAGGGACATAAGGAATTTACCTCAACATCATACAGGTTATATATGACAAAACGAAAGCCACCATCATATTGAATGGGGAAAAATTGAAAGCATTTACTCTAAAATAGAAACCAGACAAAAATGTCCACACTCATCACTTCCATTCAATATAGTACTTGAAATTTTAGCCACAGCAATTACACAGGAGAATAAGATACAAAAAGGGAAGGAAGGAGTCAATGTATGGCTGTTAACAGATGATGATTTTATATTTAAATTTAAAAAAAAAACTCCACTAGAAGACTTTTTGAGCTGATATAAATTCAGCAAAGTAGCAGGAATAGAAGATCAACATACAAAAATCAATGGCTTTTCCATACACCAATAACAAATCCCCTAAAAAAACATGAGAATAATTTCATTCATGATTACCTTAAAAAATAAAATATTTAAGAATAAATCTATCCAAAGAGGTGAAGACCTCTACAATGAACATTACAGAACACTGAAAAAGAAATAGAAGACACTAGAGCATGGAAAGACCTTCCATGTTAGTGAATGGACAGAATTAATATCATTAATATGGCCATATTACCAAAAGCAATCTACAGGTTCAGTGCAATCTCCATCAAAATACCAATGACATTCTTTTATGGTAAACTAGGAGAAAAAAAAAGATCTAAAATTCATAAGGAAAAATAAAAGACCCAGAATAGTCAAAAGAAATCTGAGCAAAAAGAACAATGCTGGAGGCATTGCAACTTCAAATTATATATATTACAGAGCTATGATAAAAAAATAAATAGGTTGATATTGGCATAAGAACACATACCAAGACCAGTGAATAGATGACAGAGACAAAGCCATACAAATATAGTCATCTGATTTTTGACAAAGATGCCAAAAACATGATAGAGGAAATGTAAACTTTGTAACAAACAGTGCTGGGAAAACTAGATATCCATATATAGAAGAATGATGTGTGTTTTCTGCTTTGTTTTGTTGGCAAAACTAGGGATTAAATTCAGAATCTTAAACATGCTATATGCAAGCACTCTACCACTGAGCCACATCCCCAGCTCTACATACAGAAGAATGAAACTGGATTCTTCTCTCTCACCCTGCATAAAAGTAAACTCAAAAGTGGATCAAAATCTAAGAAATTACAACAGAAACCTTGCAACTACCAGAAGAAAATACAGGGTCACCACACCAACATATAGGCAATGACTTCCTCAAAACTCAGGAAATAGTACCAAGAATAAATAAATGGGATGGCATCAAATTGAATTGTTTCCGCACATCAAAGGAAGCAAAGTATAGAGCCTAGAGAATGGGAGAAAATCTTTGCCAGTTACTCTTTAACAGGGGATTATATACAAAGAACTCAAAAAACTGAACACCAAAAAAATAAAAATAACCACCCAATCAATAAGTTGGCAAATGAACTAAACAGACACTTCCCTGGAAAAATACAAATGCTCAAAATATAAGAAAAAAACGTTCAACATCTTTAGCAATCAAGGAAATGCAGGGCTGAGGTTATGGCTCAGTGGTAGAAGACTTGCCTAGCATGTGTGAGGCACTGGGTTGGATTTTTATTTTAAATAAATAAAAATTAAGGTCCTCAACAACTAAAAAAACTTTTTTTTTAATTAAGGAAATGCAAATCAAAACTGTGCTGAGATTTCATCTCACCACAGTTAGAATGGCAATCATCAAGCACATCCTAGCAACAATATTTTCATTCTGTTGGCATTTTTCATTCCTGTAAGGGCCGTCTCATCAGCTGTAAGCAGGCCTGGGTTCAGTCCCTAGTACCGGGAGGCAGGAGGAGGGTGTGGGGTGTACACACAACGACTTAAACTGGAATTCAGCAAAAAAAAAAAAAAAAAGCTGTGCAGCTGTCAGTACTTTCTAAAATCTCAAGGTAAATACTAATTTCACCTCTCTCACTGAGTAAATTTATAATTTAATATATATTTAATATATTTTTAATTCCAACCTTCAATGTTTTTAAGCGTTTATTAAGCGGTAATTCATCCACTTCCAGAATAAAAACTTCTACTGCCATATATAGCTTCTGTTGTACTTCATTTCTTTTGGCAATCAAAACATTCCCTTCATTCTGGAGGAAGGAAAAGAAAAACCACCATTAATATATCGGGTGTTTTTCACGCATTTACCTACATGAAAAAAAAAAGTGATTTCTAAAATTTAACATTACTTTCACCAAGCATAGTAGCATTTAAGACAAATACTTTTCTCCTTATCACCAAAGAGACAAAGAACATCTCTTCCCTTAATAAAAACATTTAAATTCAACAATCTTGCCCTGAGAATCTTTATTTTTTATTATGTCTGCAATGAAAGTTGTTAATAAAATTATACAAATTCCTATTAATTACACACTACCTTTCTTTTACTCCCATCCCATCCTCAATTCTTTCATCTACTCATCTTTCAAGATTTAGTTAAACTTCACTGGAACAAAGCCTCCAATTTGCCCAAGAGGTCCTTTGTAAATTATGTATGTAAAAGATAACCAAGAGGGGCCTGAGGTTGTGGCTCAGCAGTAGAGCGCTCACCTAGCAAGTGTGAGACTCTGGGTTCGAGATCCTCAGCACCACATAAAAATAAAAACAAATAAAAATAAAGGCATTGTGTCCAACTACAACTAAAAAAAAATTTAAAAAAGATAACCAAGAACCCTATGCATTATCTCTACTGTAGTACTTACCATTTTATATTGAAACTATTAGTACATCCATCTAATACCAAAAAAGAAAGAGAAAAATTATGTCCTAAATATAAATATACATACATATATATATATATACATATATATATGTATATGTGTGTGTGTGTGTGTGTGTATATATATATATATATATATATATATATCTCCAAATTACAGATAATGGCTATATATAGCCATTATCTATAATCATATCTGGAACATATACTTAAATGCTTGAATTTCTGAATATTTTTTCTTACATAAGCTCAGACTATTTTATACTATAAACAAAAAGAAAACAACTTCAAGTAAAACTTCATCAAAAAATAAATTAGCAAACAAGGAATTAGGCAGTACATACATAAATAAAAGTAACAGTTCTAAGACCAAATTAAATACAAGACGGTTAACTTTGAGTGCAATTTTTATTACATATTTATTCAGTAATCTACTCTTCAGTTTACAAAATGAACCTTAAGTCCTGAAACATCAAGAGTAGTAGGAATAATTAATTGCTTTAAAAAAAAGTCACATTTGCACTACTAGAACATTATGTCTGAAAGTCAAATTAATCTTCTTTCCTC